ATTATAATTGTAATATTTATAGTTAATTTTTTATATAAGTTTAATACATTCTTAAATATTAAATTCAATTAAAATATAATTGTAATCTAATATTTTAATATGCTGTGTGACTCCCCAAAACAATGACATTGATGTTTGAAAAATATATTGTAACGATTAAGTTAAAAATAAATATAATTAAAAAAAACAAACAAATATTCAGTATAATATTATTGTGGACACGTTTATGCATCATTGACAGTATGCTTGCTTCATCAGGAGCGTATAGCAAAGGCTCATGGGTCTCAGTGTGGGTTTTGTACTCCTGGGATGGTGATGTCCATGTACACATTACTTAGAAATAACCCACAGCCCACCATGGAGGACGTGACCGAGGGTCTCGCTGGTACGACGCCACATACACCATCTTAAATACACAGACACATATAATAAGACTTTCAGTCATGATCAAACATGAATGTTCTTATTGCAGGTAATTTATGCAGATGCACGGGGTACCAGCCCATCGTTGAAGGCTACAGAACCTTCTGTGAGGTGAACAGCAGTCGTCCGGATTCATCCTTGATTTAATTCGTGTCAGCTGCTGAATCATGTGGCACTCATCTGGCATGCCATTTCAGATCCTTTATGGATTTGTTCCGAGCTGCCCAACCATTCCCATTTCAGACTGTGTTTAATATTCTCGGTTTATCTCAAAGCCACCCTTTATGACTCCACATATTTTGATACAGTGTTTTTAATTTTTGTTATTTATTTATTTATTTATTTTAACAATGTGGTCCATGCTTGACATTTCTGGGATTCTGGGAATTACAATGTGACAGTCAGCTAAACTTTATATAAAGTCGATCTGACATTTGTGTGTTGCCAATTTTTATTATTATTTTTTTTTTACTTTTTCTGTTTATAGAGTGAAAACTGTTGCCAGTTAAATGGCTCAGCATGCAATATGGCAAATGGAAATGAAAACAGATCTGTGCAGCCCATAGAGAATGTGAGTATTTTTATCTTGACTATTGCAAATACTTTTTTTAAAACAAAATTTACTATGTAGTGAATATTTACAGAGAAATTAATATATAATAAGTAACGTTATTAAATATATAATAAATATTATTTTTATAATAAGATATATATAACAAATAATATTATTATTTGTATAAGAAATATATATATATATA